GGTCATGGCACTTACTACGTCCCACGCTTTGGCCAACTGGTCTATTGTGGATTACAGGGTAGGAAAGGTTTCCTCGGTAGGTTCCAGCTAGCCTTATTCAACTATTATTCCAGGCCTGATTCCTCTACTGAACCAGATTCGGGTCAATAATGACCTTGGACATCCATTATGTGCCAATCTTCGCGATGGTACTTGGCTATGTGAGTACGTCTCTGCACGATTGGAAAGGTACCCTGGCTTGATTTATGTGAGTAGTTCTTTTGACTTCTATGATACATTTCACCAAAGAAAATCCTCGCGAATGAGGTGGTTTCTGCCAAGTTGGGCTTTGTTGCATGAAGGCTTGGCCTCACACAGCTATCTGGTTCTGGTGGATCGGATTACGCTGGCCCTACTGGAAAGAATAGTTCTTGCCTAAAAAAGATGAAAGATGAGGAGCAAGCATTTTTGTAATTGGAATTGCAGTACAACGATAATAGGGGAAAGAGTAGGGGTGCATGTATTGGGTTGTCCGAAAAGTTCCCGCCGATTTTTGACACCCCGGATTTATCAACTGTTGTACAAAAGATCAGGGACCCAACCTCATAAAGTTATATGTTTTTTGAAAGAGTAGGTCCTCCTCTATATTCTTGTTAGGATTCTGTCAACATTTGTCAAAGGTTGGCTGTACAGGACTCGTGTGAAAGTTGAGAACCACTGCGCGCATTTTCGGCATCTGAAGTTTTTCTTCTATCGCAAGGCCTGGAGTGCGACTCAAGCCGCAAGAAAGATATAAGATGTTCAGTAGACCATGCTCTAAAGGAACGTACAGTGCGTGACTAGTTTGCAGAATCCAATCAGAGTAAATTTACCCCCGAAGACCGGCAACCTTAAGGGAGACCATCACCAGTTGAAACGCCCAAATCAAAATGTGAACCGAAGCGAATCGGCACTTCACTATTCGTGGTGTAGGAGGAAGGTTTATTGTTTCAAAATCAACCATCCATGATCATCTGCTGGACCTTGGTTTTGTAAAGCGCCTCGATGTTGGGATACCTCGCGAAATGGGCGAGCACAGTATGATGAACCGCGCTTCCGCGTGCGACTCCTTGCTCAAACGAAATAAAAATGAGCTGTTTCTGAAACGCATGAGCACGGAATACGATAACTGGATTGTCTACAACAATGAGGAGCGGAAACGATCGTAGAGTCCCCTAGTGAGCCGTCACAAACCGCTGCAAAAGTCAAAATCCAGGTGCGGAAAACAATGCCGAGTTGCGGTGGGATTCCAGGGAATTCACTCACCGTAAGCTGTTGTCGCATAATCGAAACGACGACTTCAGAAAGGTACTATAGTTAGCTCAAAAATTTGGAGGCAGCGATTGGCCAGAAGCGACCCGAACTGGCCAATCGTGAGGGCGTGATCTTCCAACAGGGTACCTCCAGCCCGCACGTATTTTTGGCCATTCGTCAAAAATTGCTAGAGCTTGGGTGGGATGTCTTCCCACACCCCGATATAGTCCGGACATATCGCCATCAGAATACCACCTGTTTAGGGTTCTGCAAAATTCTTTGAATGGAAAATCGTTCAATCCGCTGGAGGACTGTAAAAAGCACCTGAGAGGGTTTTTCGATTTTAAGTCTGGAACCTTCAATGAAAGTGGGAAGTTGGAACATACAGGAAGATGGCGAATCCTTACTGAACAGAATGGAAGATATATAGTCCAATCAATGGATTTCTTCTTCTAGGAATTTTCATTCAAAGATGAATCAAAAATCGGCGGGAACTTTTCGGACAACCCAATACATCACCCGGGTACCCCAGTATATCCACTCCATGCGCGGACTGTAATCGAAGCAGTCTAACCCCTGATTATTACCCTGATTGATATGTTAAAGTACCAGTGGGATCAAAAGTCGCCTTCTATGGGACCTCAGCTGTCTCGTCAATACCGCTCCATTTCAGGTTTCACAATTCTTCGGATGTATACTCGCTTTTCTGGAGAATATACCTTACTATCTTCGCCCATGCTACTTCGAAGCCGTCATTTCCTATCTGTACAAGCAATGCAGATTGTCGCTGTTGAACCGGTTAGCAAGGTAAGCGAAATTATTGCTGTTTCATTGAACCCCCGTAGGTTTCCTACGTATTCAGAAATATACACACCTCGTCTCCACTGGTTCGATCTCTGGCCGTTTCTTCGGTATCGTTCGTGGGCTATGTCCCGAATGCAGATTTGGCACCTTTACCACCTTCCCTAAGGTTGGAAGATGAACATCCTTCGTCGATTGCAGCCGGTACGCATAAACTTTCGTATAATTATACCTACTTCAGAAAAATATTCTGGTCTAGCGATCCTCAAAAAAGCCCTCCGGTAAATTTTAAAACTCTAGGATTCAAAGGCTTCCCAATGAAACACTTCCCCTTAGATCAAATACGAGAACTAGGTCTTACAGGAAAGGCCGCTGAAAAGCACCTACACCTCAAATAAAAGGATAATGTCCCGGCATTAATCAATCCTGTCTTAAAGATGCGCCCCTCGCTTCGACTTCCTTTCAGAATCGTAGTTGCGGAACGAATGTGTTTGTGGCCTATACAATGATTTGCAGTGGCCACCCGAGTACCAGTTACCCAACTTCGTAGGGCCCAGCCAGATATCGATGCAGGACTCAAGCTCCTGTCCATGCATGTGTGATAGTGCCACCACTGCCACTATGCCATCTCCACCACCTACACCTACATGTTGAGCGGCTAAAAAAAGCTTATTTAAACAACTTCGCAATGGGTGGACCTTAGCACCGACCTGGAGTCGGCGGCAGTTGGAGCCTACACCGTGCACTTCATTTGTTATGACCTGGCTTTCCGGGTGTTTTGGGTGTTTCACTATTATTCTGTTGCCTCTCTACACTCTTATTTCGTAGCCCCTCTCTCCCACTGCCCCATACCCATACTCTGACTTGAAGGTTGGGGTGTAGTGATGCTCTACAGAAGTATAGCTCCTCAGATCCTCTCAGGATCGTTTTACCCATAATATCCGCTTGGGATTGCCTTTTGCGATTACCCATACGACTTTGAATATATCCTGTCATCACTCCTTTCCAGTTCGATTTTTATTGCTGACTTAAAGAGTATGTGTAGAAGCGGTGATACGATTACGGTAGATTTGTAAGAGTTTGTTACAGGATTGCCACATTTCGCTGTTGGTATCTGGCGTAACTGGGGACGGGACACATTTATAGCTCTTCCTGGATGTTTACTTGCAACCGGACGGTATCATGACGCTAGGTGAGTATGGAAATTTTTCGCGAACTTTCAATGAAAATGTATATTTATTCGAGTTACTGCTCGGCTACTTCAGGAATGTAATCCTTTCGTATGCTGGAGCGTTACGACATGGATTAATTCCAAATTTACTTGCTGAAGGCAAAGGT